ACTGACATGAAGGAGAATTCATACTTCTGTTAATCGGTCAATTTGGCACGATTATTGGCCAACAGGGTTATTAGTAAGCTAATAATCCCCAAATCCAATATATGAGCTCTCTTATTAGCAATGATAGCCAATGTACGGAGGTAAACGTGTTAAAAATGCCTTATATTAGAAACGATCTGGAGCACTGCAGTGTATCTGTGAGCCCAGCAGATGGCAGGGCATGTTTGTGCTCTCAGGTTATGCAGCTAAGCTTTACTAGGGTAACTATAGAATTACTGCTTTATTGTCTATATGGAAAACCAATACACTGAATCCAATCCATTACATCTGAGTTAGCATTAAATCTAATCTGAGCTACACACTGCCTTTTTGGAGTTGTTCGGTTTTACTTTAATCCATGCTCTGTGCCGTCATGGTGAAGAAAACGGAGGCAAAAGCAAGCTGTGTGACCACTGCCAGTGACAGAAACTAGGTCACATTGTGGCTGAGTGAGTGCCTTCAATAAAACATTCACTCAGACTGTACATTCATGCACACAGGCAGAGGCCAGGCCACTTATTCCAAGCCTTTATTGGGTTAGATGAGCTTAATGAAGACATACATCAGCCTACAGAAAGAGTCACATTTATATTTACACACACAGTCCAAACATCCCATCAATCTACAGCGAGGCCTTCAGTCGGTCAACTACAGTGAAGAATTTGCTACATCTGCACTAATTCACCAATCCTGACTGGTTTGAATGGTGAACACATACAGTAACACATTGAAAGATGTGTAGTGTCTATGCCATAAGTGAAATCACACAGAATTATAGCTTAAAAAATAGCTTCGTTTTCTGAAGAAACAGTGAGTGTAAAACTCACCGCCTCTGCTATTGGCATATTGAGCAGATTTGGTCTGAACTTTTTGGCCTTTCTTAAAGTCACATGTCTTTGGCAGCACAAAAGCCAATGAAGAATGAGTTTAGCCTACTTGACACATACCCAACCAAACACTTATTTACCAAACTAAATATGATTATGTGTGGGGAAAAAAACATGTGAGTAGCAAATAATACATTTATTTCAAGTGCGATTCTGTCTTCAAAATTTGAATAAAATAAAAATAGCTATAATAAACTAAAGAGTAACTGTGTTGTAAGATGAGTTACGCCACATGGCCCAGAAGTCTGAGACCATAAAATCTGCAAATGAAAACATAAATGTAAAACAAAATGTAAAAGAAATATTTAAAATTCTGCAGTACTTTAAGGTCACTAGCACTTCCTAAAGGGATAATTCATTCAAAAATGAAAATTATCATTCACTCACCCTTATATTGTTTAAAAATTGTATGACTTTCTTTGTCGTGGAAATTTATGTTAATTTTCCAATTTAACCTTTCAATTGTTATGACGATTATATAATTTGTAAATAAAAGAAATCTATTAATTTGGTAAAGAAAGCAAAATTGTCAGCAGACTTCTGGACTCCACTGTATTTCCAAATACACTTTCCTTTTGCTATCTACTGCAGATTAAATATAAATGCTAATAAGTGTTAATATGTAATCTGTGAGCTGGCCTGTACAGTAGGCACCTGTGTATTTATTAACAAAAGTAACTGCGAAATAACAAAGGAAGGAAATAGAAATGAAAGAAAATAAAGGAAAGTAAATATAACAAGTTAATATAACAGTATATTGAAGTATTTATATGATTTGTTTTGCAGTTACACTACAGGTCAAAAGTTTAGGGTCAGTACAATTCTTTTTTTTGAAAGTCATTAATATTTTTATTGAGCAAGGATACATTGATCAAAGCAACAGGAAAAACTTAAAAACATTCTATTTCAAATAAATGCTGTTCTTTTGAACTTTGTAATCTTTAAGGGATCCTGAAAAAAACTATATATCATGATTCCCACAAAAAAAAATATTGGGCAGCACAACAGTTTTCAACATTGATAATAATAATACATGTTTCTTGAGCAGCAAATCAGCACATTAGAATGATTTCTGAAGATCATGTGACACTGAAGACTGGAGTAATGATGCTGAAAATACAGCTGCGCATCACAGAAATACATTACAGTTTAACATGTACTCACATAGAAAACAGCTATTTTAAATTGTAATAATATTTCACAATATTACCATTTTAATTTTTGATCAAATAAATGCAGCCTTGATGAGCAGAAGAGACTTCTTTCAAAAATATTACAAAATCTTACTGATCCCAAACTTTTAAACAGTAATAGTTCACCGTTTAAATAACATATACTTTTTATTACATTACTGTAATGATATTGGGAATTTTCTTGACATTACGGGGAGAAATGTGTTTAACTCTCATGAAAATACAATGTCTAATTTATTTCTTTTGATTTGGCCTGTTCATGAGATTCACTCTGCTAATCCGACACGTGTCTCACTGAGCTTGTATATTACAGATAATTAGTGTGACACAATTAACTATGCAGACACAAAAACAGACATCACAGAGAACAAGGAGGAATGAGCAAACGAGCTAAATCACTCAGTGTGTGTAAGAATCGGGAAAAGAGAGAGAGAGAGCAAGAACACACAGCCAATGTAAGATGATATCCCATCAGCCAAGAGTTAAAGCTGTGCTGGGCTTTCTCTCGCACAGCAATCCATTTAGATCAGGCAGATCAGATCTGATTTGTTGTAAGAGCAGACAGAGGAAGATGAGGAGAGCTTAGGCCTGATGCAGAGAGAGACAGGACACAAAAACACACATGAGACGGGAACATCGAGAGCAGGCAGCGAGTCTGTCCATCAATGCACATAAAGACATTCGCTTCTGTTAGTATCGCAATATTTAACCTGATTTCACCTGTATAAGCTAATGTATTTAGCTGGATTTGTAACTCACACAGATGCTTTTAATAAAACAGAGGGAGCAGCAACATATTAAAAGATACTAATGTTCAATAAGCAGTTACAGTTATTAATAAAAATGACAATTCTTCTAAATCAAATAACAGTTATTCCAGATTAACATAGTTTATTAGTTTAACTGTAGGATTTTACTGTTTCCAAGCACCGTAGCAACTAGGACATCAATATTAAATATAATAGAGTGCAACAGTGACCATCAGTTTTTTTTTAATTAGTTAATAAAAATACAGCTATTCATTGTTAGTTCATGTTAGCTCAAGACCATTAAATAATAATAATAATAATAATAATAGACACAACTTTTGATTTTATTTTAATAATTTATTAGAAATTAAAAAATTGTTAAAAATAACATTAATAAAAGCTTTTGAAGTATATATAAATATATATATGTGTGTGTGTGTTATAAAATGTGGGTAGTGAATAATGGAGTACTTAAACATGCCTTAAATATGAAATTCAGGTCACACTGGTTTCTGCAAAAACTCATGTTCACAGAACTGAACGTGTTTATCGTCAGTTTATGGTAGGTATGCCTTAAAAAAGTTTATATGTTATCTTTTAAAATATGAAAGTGAATGGTATTTTACTTCTGCAATACGACTCTATTGCATTCTTTTGATTTGGAGCTGCTTTATAATCATAGCTGTTTAATTATATAGTTCAGAAGGCATTACAGGTTAAATAAAAATAGCTGTGCAGTAATTGTTAATTATGGCTTAGCATCATAACAGTAGTTATGTAATGGTAGTGTCAGTGATGAGGGTTTGTGGGTAAGGAGAGAATGACTGCTACTGCTGAGTCACATAGCACTGCTGTCACACAGGATATGACATCAGCGGGGGACTATGGCACACTGAACAGGCTGCAATGCAGCAGTGACCACCACAGGCTGTCTCTATCTCAGCACCAATCCCTCAACCAGAACACACAGCTTCATTATTGTACAGTACCTGCAGTCTAAATGCGCTTAATCATTTTGTTTCTCAGTTCAAGCTTTAAAGGGTTAGTTCACCCAAAAATGAAAATTCTGTCATTAATTACTCACCCTCATGTCGTTTCAAACCCGTAAGACCTTCGTTCATCTTCGGAACACAAATTAAGATTCAAATTAAGATTCAGTTCAGTTCAGTTCAGCATTCAACACAATCATCCCTCAACAGCTCATTCACAAACTGGTCCAGCTGGGGCTCAACACTTCGCTGTGTTGAGACTTTCTGACAGACTTTCTGACTGGAAGACCTCAGGCAGTACGGGTCGGCAGCAACACATCCAGCACCATCACACTGAACACTGGGGCCCCCCAAGGATGTGTGCTGAGCCCCCTCCTCTTCACTCTGCTGACCCACGACTGCACACCGTCACACAACTCCAACCTCTTCATTAAGTTTGCGGATGACACGACTGTAGTGGGTCTCATTAGCAACAGAGATGAGACAAACTATAGGAGCGAGGTGAGCCGCCTGGCCGGGTGGTGCAGTGACAACAATCTCTCTCTGAATGTGGAGAAGACGAAGGAGATTGTTGGTGACTTCAGGAGAGTGCGCACTCAGCATGCTCCTCTGTCCGTCAATGGTGTGACTGTGGAGAGGGTGAGCAGCACCAAGTTCCTGGGTGTGCACATCACAGAGGACCTCTCCTGGGCTGACAACACCGCAGCACTGGCCAAGAAAGCACAGCAGCGTCT